ATGAGTATGGCTTGAGTCAATGTACAGATATGACAGACCAATCTGGAAAAAAACAACCAGATTGTTCAACTAGCTGTGAGAAGCCTCAATGGAAATGTGTCAGTGAAAATAAACAATCACCAGCCGATGAGTACCGGTTGAGTCAAGATACAGTTACACCACACCTGCCTGGAAGAAAACAGACAGATTGTTCCATTTCTGATCAACACAAAAATGACAGTATACATACCGAGACAGTTCCCATTAATGTTATGCCATGTAACCCAAATCAGAAGAACACCATGTCAGATGTACAATGCAGGCCTAGTATTGATGATTCCATGGACATAAATGTCAACCCTCTAGATGAATTCTTGATACTTCCACCTCAACTTGATGATGTTAATGATATTTTGTCAGATGATGATGGTATGTCTTTTACAGATGTAGCTGACCAACCAACAGATAAGGGGAATAGTGAGGTATTTGTATAAGCAGCGACTTCAAATGTTGATGCTGGTAATCAACAATACAAAGGTGTAGCTGATTTAACGCGCATTTTGTGAAAATCGCATTTTATGAACATTTCTTTGTCGTTTTCGGGGTTTGATTCTTCTAACATGGATACCAGATTATAGTTGTATTGGTTAGTCAAGCATTATAGTACTGATAATGAAACAAACCCAGATCCTGGTAATATACAAAGACCTGAATTAACAAAGAAGCCTAGTTGTTATTAAAGGTACATCAAGGTTTACTCAGATTTATGAATGCAGTTTCTTGAGCATGTACGAGACATAGTTTGTTTGCACTTATGATTTTGGACCCGGGTCAATGAAAGTAGCGTACATATTAATCCAATTGTTTGCAGATGTTCCATGTATTATTTTAACATGAGTATTTTATAATTAAATAACAGGAACTGTGATATTTATGTCTTGTTATAAGTAACTTTGTTCTAGTATTATATTGTATTGGAATTCTGTTGCGAAAGATTAGATATAACAGTGTGAGCCAAAAATGGAACAATACATAAACGAACAAATCAGATATATACCCATTTATAAGTTACCTGAAATACAAACTCGTTATGATTTGTAGCTAGTTTAAAGGTTAACAATGAGAAATATAAAACTTGATAAATGATGATAACAGACAGAATTGAGCAAATTAAATAGGTTTGGTAGGTGAAATAAAAGTACCGGTAGGTACAGTTTAGGAGTTAATCTGTATGATCAAGGTTGCCAAGCAGTATTATACGTCCATTTAGAAACAGTACAAATAACTATTAAATATTTATATTATTTCAAGAATCCTTGCCATTAACTTTTAGGCCAGAGAAAAAAAATTCTCTGTTTCTCGTTTCATGGAAATTTTTAAATCGCAAGGTAATTTTTTTTTTGGAGACTGAGCTAAAATGCGCATTTTGGAATGCTTTAGAAGCAAAAAAAACGTCCAAGGCGAGAAACGAGAAACAGAGATATTTTTTTCTCAGCCTTAAAGTTTCATATTTTTTTTAATCTATAATGCGATGTAGATACTGAAAATTTTTGTTTTATTAAGGAAAACAGTTTAATCTTTATCTTTAATAGGAATGATTATTGAGTTTTATGCTGTTAATGATGTGAAATAAATCATGTGGTATTGAATTCAAAAGGTTGTGTTCATTAATGTGATCATCGATTGACAATACAAGGTAATTACTTGGTATTATTGTTTTGCAATAAGTTGCTGAACTGCTGATACAACTACATAGCAGAATGCTATGTTCAACATACAATGGAAAATCATTGGGAGCTATGGTTGAAATGGAGCAATCTTATTAAAATTAATGAAAAAGTGTCCTCCCGTCTTATCTCACGAGTAGCGCCATCTAGAGACGATCCAACTTAATTATGTGTGATGTGTGCGTTTTACAACATCCATGGCTAGTATTGTTTTGAATCTATGGTTGGTAGTCAATCAATTTGTAGGAATTTATTTGAATGCAAATGAGAAGCCACTTCACATTCAGGCATAGTTGTCTTTTGTACAACATTGGTCACACTCATCCATTGACATCCTATACTGAAAAATACTTTATTTTAGCTGGAATTAATTTTCGCTGAAAAAAATATTTGGGTGTTTTGAATGAAATTTATTTTCACTGATTTCTGATCAATTTAATGAAAAATATAGGAAAAAAGGTATATTCGCTGGATTTTATTTTCACTGAATCATTCCTTCAAAAATAGTGAAAAATTAATTCCAAGCGAAAATAAATTATTTTACAGTAGGTCATCTCGACATAAGTAAACGGTTTCCTTGGTGGAGGTCTTGACCTCATGGGAAGGTGTCATGAAAAGGTCAAACAGAAGATACAAAATATGTATATCAGTGTAGTGTTGATAGAACAAGACAAAAATAAAATTGAAAATGTACAGCAGTTATGTATAGTGCAAACTCAACAAAATTAGAAACTTTTATCACATTTAAAGTTTGACTGGGTATACACAATGCAACACAAAGGCTTGACATTACAACACTTAAAAAACTTGAAATGGCAGTTTAATTACTGGTTGAAACATCCAATGACTGTATGAAATATTAAGTCAAAAAAACATGTTTCATAACTCTGAACTTGATGTTAAATGGATGTACTTGACTTGGCCTCGATTATGACGGGATTATGATCAGATTAAGATAAGCCAGCTGGCATGTGTTTGAAGTAACAAAAAATAAAATTCACTAAACGCTCTTATATAAATATATATATTTATTTATTCATTTATTTAACAAATTATATAATACTTAACCATTTATAAAATATAAGTATATAATAATACTGCTAAAACATGTACATGTATTTCCAGGTTTCACGCTAAAATTCACTCAATTGAAAGTAAAACAATCATTTTTATTGTTGTTTTTACATTTTCACATTTTATGGATAACCGCAAATTCACCAAACAGTAAAATTTAGATTATATAGTAATTGATTCCTATGCAAATGGTTAAACAAGCAGCCTCTCGGCTGAGATAGCTCCGCTGTTAGCAAGACACATTTCAATTCAAGAACTGAAGATATCATTAGAAAATGAACAATATGTACGGTATAGTATCAAAGCAATCAGACTTGCTGTTTTCAACAATAATTCAAAAATATCACTTTTTACCAAAAATGACGTAAATATTCATCAAAATTAGATAATTGAAGATACCATCACAAAATGAACAAATCTGAGAGAGGTCCACATGTAATACCTATATATGTAATATCAAAGCAATTGGACTTGCGGTTTTTAACAAGAAGTGGAAAATATCACTTTTTACCAAAAATTACAAAAATATTCACCAAAATTAGAGAATTGAAGATATCATCACGAAATGAACAAATCTGGGAAAGGTCCACATGTAGCATCTATATATGCAATATCAAAGCAATTGGACTTTCGGTTTTTAACAAGAAGTCAAAAATATCACTTTTTACCAAAAATTACAAAAATATTCACCAAAATTAGAGAATTGAAGATATCATCATGAAATGAACAAATCTAAGAGAGGTCTACCCCAGGTACATACACACCAAGTATCAAAGCATTCAAGCTTGTAGTTTTCAAGAAGAAGTCGAAAAGGTAAAACATTGACACTGACGACGACGGACAATCACTCATATGATAAGCTCCGCTCGACAAAGTCGACTGCGGAGCTAAATATTTCATCCTGGGTGTAAAAAATCCCAAAGTTGATGACTTACATTCAAATCAATAATTATATAATATTATATACAATATTTGGTAGTTCCAATGCCAGTGAGTGGTTTTTTTGGTGGAAGCTTACTTGTGAAAAACAATAAATCTATTTAGCAATAAATTTTACTAAATTTTACGAGAATAGTTGCCATTTTGTAAGTGTTATTATGTGATGAATGGTGGAGTACTTGAATTTCTGAAATTGAAAGTGACAAAAAATGCAACATGTATTTTGGTTTAACATTTCTATGGAATAGTTCTAAAAAAGTGACTCTTCTCAAAATTTCACACTGCAAATATAGACAAAGTGATTTTTCATGTTTCCATGTCACTGTTGCTACAAAAAATAAACCTATGAATATTGCCAAGTGATTTAATAAGTTTCTCAAAAAAAGTAAGTAGCCTTCTATCCAAGAGCATTACTGTCATCTGTGTGCATGCATGTTTACATTCTTCACGTTTTGTTCTCAGTTAGTCTTTACCTACCTCGCATACACTATACAGCAGGGTTTTTATTAGAAAAAAACTGCAAGAGGGAGCACTGCAATTCAGCGAAGCCACCAAGTGGAGATAGGGTTCTCCCTACCAGAGTGTGGAATGTTTGATAATTTCGAGTTAAAATGGAGCATTCTATGGCTTTATTGGGGCCAAAATTAATATCAGACAGGTCACAGTTGAAGACTGTGCCCACATGTGATCCCTGGTCAATCAGAATTTTATGGTTGCCATAGGATCTGTTCCCCAGGGTAAGAGGGCACATGGCCATGGCATGCGGGCGCTGCGCCTATTTTCCCTTATTTAAAATAATCCCTGTACAGTATATGCAGTTCCGTCAGACACACACAATAAACATAAATATTGCACATGACCATACAAAGCATTGTTTTTTAATTTACAAGTTTGTCTGTAAATTCACTTTTAGCAGATTTCTATAAACAGGTCGCTATCAATATGTACACATTCATGGTTGTGCGAGTCCTTCATATACACATAGTTCTCATGACAGTCATTTAGGTATACCTCAACATTAAACTATTTGCTAAACTGTTTTCACTTATATCGGTATTATATCAAATACAGAATGTGTTTCGCAATGTATCATTGATTTTATTCTGCATTACAAGCAAATATGTTAACAAGATTCAATTAACAAAATCTATCTTAACTAAACGCCTGATGAAAGTCTCAATAAAAAAATAGGGCATCAGAATGTGATGCATTAAAACCCTAATATTCAGGCACACCTTGACGGCCACAACTTGAAAAGTTGATTTAACCAATCGTAATTGTTCATTTTTGATTCGTCAGTGCTTTTTTTATTTCCTGTACATGACATCTCTCCTGCTTGTCTGGACGTTGGGTATAAAACCGATGAGACACCAGTAATGTAATCACTATACCCAAAGTGATGTAGAAGCGTAGAGACTTGTACCATGCTGGATAGCCTGGCATTGCAATATCAGTAATTGCAAAACCTGCCATGGCTGTAATCAAAACTGGAAGTCCAACAGATGGTTCTACACTGATACCAAGCAGTGCAATGGCAGCTGGAGCAATACTATATCCGAGATTAGACCAGTTTGGCCGAGTATCACTTCCATCGGGAAGCGCAAGTCCCCATCGAACTGCACCAACAAAAGATAGCACAATGGCAGCGTCTGCCATCTGCACAAATAATATATCCTGATTATACACACCATGAACGATCGAATAAGCTGTACCGGCTGCAAACGGGATCAGAGTCGCTGCTCCAAACACCAAAGCTGGTAAAGGTGCTTCCTTAAGGTATCGTAGTTTATAAACCGTTGCTAAAGAGACACTGCCACTTACTGCATCATCCTGTTTAGAAGTAGAACATCTTAGTGATGTGTGGATTGATCTAGAATTATTCACATTGATGGTGCTTTTCCTAACTGCTGGAGTAATGTAACATCTTGATGCAGATGGCGTTGAGGTAGACCTACTTAGATACCATGTACTCAAAACTCTTGGATGCTTCAGGTTCAACTGTCTTAACACTGTACATCCTAGAAGCCTCGTCTGTAAGCAATAGAGTAGTTTGACAATGTATGGAGGCGATTATAATTTTATACATGTACTCAACAGGAGACTACTTTTATGAAGTTGTATTGTCGATTTTGAGTTATTTTACCAAAATCTGAAATTGGCGGTGCTTGTGAGTTATAATGACTAAAAGCTGGGCACATTGCGCTTTTAATTGGCCTTTTTACAATAAATACTGTCATGCATCACTTTTCGATTTCTGCTGTGGGTGCATGCTAAACACAACTAACCTAGAAATCACACAAACTCAGGGATATCATAAGTAAACTAGTCCTGCAATAAATTCAAAAGGGAGGCCTAGTGGCTCAAAAGTCTGATGTACATCTCAGATCAATCTTAATGGAAAATACTTAATAATACAGTCCATCTTCAATCGTCAAAACAGAGAATATTGGGTGCAATTTGGCGACATGATTACACCCTAATACATTTTGTATACTGAAAACTCAAGCACAACTGAATCCACAAAATTGCCTTGTGATTTTTGAATATCAGTGAAGTGAATATCCTAGCTGTTGTATAATTAAATTACATATATAACCTAACATGACAAAAGATTCAAACAAAATTTTGCCAACAATACTACTTCAAAACTAATAGTTTGTCATTCGACAAATATATAAAGCTTCAAGTGTATATATATGTATGCATGTAATTTTACTTGAATGCACAACATTGAATGTCACTGTTGACTCACCTGAATTTTTATTGTCAAATTGCAAGTAGTGACGGTACACATTGTGCATTTTGCCACAAAATCCATGTTCCATGGGCAACAACTACTGATGATTAAAAAATGCATTTACCTTCTGGTAAAATACAATTTTCAACATGATATGTTTTTGAAAGTGAAACATGATATAATCAGTTCAAAACCTATATACATGTATGAAGAGTCAGTTTCTATTATGGAGAGCCATTATGACTTGTGTGAAAAACTTAATAAATCATAATCACTTGATGGTTATGGCTAATAATCTATCATAACCATCACATGTGTTATCTAATGGATACTAACCTGAGTTAGCAGGTAACTATATGGTAACATTGTAGAACAGTTCAATAGTTAGCATGCAATAACCATTTCTGGATTAGTAGTAGTAGTAGTAGTAGTAGTAGTCCAGAGTTTTAAATCTGGTTTGGTCCCCGATTGGATTGAAGAAAAAGAAAAGAAATCTGATTAGTGTAATCACATGTGATACTACCATTAAAACTTCTACTGTATTACAATGTTACAACGTTAAAAATTTTAGTTCAAAGTCTAATTGTGGTTACTTTGTTATTTAGTACCCGGTACATCTCTTAATTTCCATACACAAAATTTTGAAATGAGGATTCAAACAGATATAGTTTAGGGGAAATCACTACCAGCTCATCTTGGAATTATTATTTTTTTTTGTGACACGACTTGCCTGATTGATTAAACCTATCTGGTGTAAACCATCATCACTATACTAAGGTAGATAGAAGATTTTAGCGCATTTGAAAACTCTGGAAACACAATGACCCTTATTTACATAACAGCAATACTGAAAGAATTGAATGGTAAATTTCACAAAGTATAGTTTGTAGGATAATTATTATTCTTACCAGTATTAAGGGGTAGGGGGTGT